TCGATTGACTAAGTCCTCTCACTTCTTACCAGTTAGGATGGACTTCACCTTGGAGAGATTAGCACATTTCTACATCCTTGAAATAATGAGGTTGCATGGAGTCTCAACTTCGATCATTTTAGACAGAGACCCCATGTTCACTTCTCAATTTTCTAAAGCTCTTTACAATTCGCTAGGCACCAAGCTCCATTTTAGCACCTTATTTCACCCTCAGTTAGATAGTTAGTTAGAGTGTGTTATTCAAGTTCTTGACGACATGCTTAAATGTAGAACTCCTCTTTGCTGGACCGAGCTTAGCAAAGGAAAAATAGTAGGACCAAATCTGATCAGAGAAACTGAAAAAAAAGTTAGAATAATTCAGAGTAGACTGAAAGAGGCATCAGATGGACAAAAGTCTTACGCGGATGTGAAGAAAACTTAAATAATTTACATTGGGTGACAAAGTATTCCTTAAGGTATCTCCATGGAAGAAAGTACGTAAAGGAAAGTTTTCCCCCGTATTTCATTGGTCCTTATAAAGTACTTGAGCAAGTTGGGTCGGTAGCCTACTGTTTAGATTTACCCCAGAGCTGGAATGTATCTGTAATGTATTCCATATATCCATGTTTCGAAGGTATCTTTCAAACCCATCACATCTCCTACCCTTGGAACTAGTTGAGATGAGAATCGACATGACCTACGAGGAGGAACCGATCAGAATCTTGGCTAAGGAAGTGAAAGAATTAAGGAAAAAGAATATTCCTTTGGTAAAACTGCTTTGCAGAAATCATGGTGTCAAAGAATCCACATGGGAAACTAAGGAAGACATGCAACTCCAGTACCCGCATCTCTTTTACCCAAGTAAAATTTCGTGGATGAAATTTCTTATTATGTGGGGAGAGTTGTAACGCCCCACAAACCGGGTTGGTAGTTTGGATTAACATGAGATCCATTTTAGAGCCCAAAAGATTTATGAAAATAGTTTAGACCAAGTTTATTTAGAATTAGGCTAAGTTAGGCCCAAAAGAATTATGAAAGGTGATGGTATTTTTATGATTTGGAAAGTGTAGGGACTTAAAGTATAAATTACATATTCTTTATTTTGAAAGCTGAAACCTCCTTATTTTTATAAGGTTTACATGAAACCCCATAATATCTTACCAAACACTTCTTATTCCTTCCATTTTTCTTCTCTTCATCTTCATTTCCAAAAGTAAGATATCAAGCAATTCGAGTCTAGTTTGTTTCAACTAAGTTAAGATTGTTAATCCTCATTTTTCTAGCTTTAATTTAAGCTCCACATTGTAACGTTTAGCCTTGGAAACCAAAAATGGGTTTTTATGGGGTTTATGAGAATATAAGGATTCTAACTCTTTTTGGGAAGATTTGAATTATAGGGAGTAAAATTATATTATTTTGAACATTTAGTTGAGTTAATGAACCATTGTCTACCTTGTTTAGTGAAAGAGGTAAAAGAGAGTTCCAAAGCAAAAGGAAAATACAAAGTGACTCCTAATTGACTTGGGGAAAGTTTAGCATCAAATAATTCAAGGTAAAAAACTTACAACTCTTTTATACTCTCTAGTGGGTCATTCTGGAGTGCAATGTTGCATAGAGATTGATATTAAAGCTTGATGAGCATGTTCATGGTAAGTGCTATGTTTTATGTTATTGTATTAAAGCCTTATTTATGATCATTAGTGACCACATAAGACATTAATAATAATTGGGAACCTCAAGGTAACAATCTGGGTAAGTTTAAGTGACCAAATAGGGGTATTTTGAGCGAGGGTATCGATACTGAATGAAACGGTATTGATATGATTCTTCAATCAGTTTAAAAATGGTTCAAGTTGAAAGGGGTAATATCAATACTCATTAAAAAAGTATCGATACTCAGGGTCATGTATTAATACTCCAAGAGTAAGTATCGATACTGGAGTATTTTTTAAAACATCAAAGTTAATTTGGTATCGATACTCAAGGAAGTATCGGTACCCAGGGTAGAGTATCAATACTCCCCATAGGAGTATTGATACTATGCATATTATCAAAATATCCAATCTAAAATCAGTATCGATACCAAAGGGGAAGTATCTATACTAATGGATCGGTATCGATATCGAGGATCCAGTATCGGTACCAGTGTACATTTTGGGCAATAAATTTTAAGAAATTGTAAGGGGAAATGAGGTTCCCAAGAACTCTATAATTACTCTCAGATAAGATTACAAGTGGAAGTAATAATAATGCTTAATTATACGTAGAAATGAAATAAGTTAAGGTGACATAAAACTAGCCTTGCTTGATGCTCGGGAAACGATCAGGACACCCGATTTCTCCTAGTACAGTTTAGGTTTTTGAATGTATAGAATTAGTCTGGATATCCTTAGGGAGTGTGCAAGGCACTTTAAATTGACTAGCTAGGGTGCACGGCCCGACACTTGCAAGGGGTGGGCTAGTCGAGGGTGTTGTGTCTGATGTGGAGATTTTCAGGCCTTATCCTCGGTAGATTAGAGGGGTGCGTTAGCTCCAAGATGCAGAAATCCCTCAGTCACACCATGATGTCTACCATAGAGTAGAGAGTGAGTATACGAGTATACTCATTATATTATTTTATCAGTTGGCTTGAGCATGATTTAACGAGCCCCTTTTAGTATGTTTTAGTTATTAGTGTGACACTAGGCTACTTAGCTTACTGTTTGGAATTTTGTTTCCATACGAAGATTCTTAGATGAGGAGTAGTAAAAGAATATTTTGTGCAGCAGTGATCCAAACCTGATTTAGAGCAAAGTACGTCTCGAGTTTTTTAGAGGGCATGTATATTCTGAAACCTTTATTTTGTATATTTTAAAACTCTGTTTTATATAAACGAGTTGTAACACATTTTAAATTAATGGTTTATATATTTTGAATTGATATTTAGGGAGTTGTCGATGTAAACTAATTTATGTAAATATTTTTGTTTATTTTTGTCATGAGTATTTATAAATGAATGTTTTCAATTATGTAAGTTAAGAAAAATTTGATTAGCCGTTGTGATAGTTCCGTGTGACACTCTTAACGGTCGATTGAATGTTGTACTGTTGTAGGATGTTACATTTAATAGTACCAGAGCTAGGTTTAGACGTTCTTAGGACCCGTTGGTTAGAGTCAGTAAAAGTTTATGAATATACATGTTTCTAGGAATGTTAAAAGTACTTCTACTTCTGAAATTGTAGTTAGTAACCCCTCTTATTGTTTAAATTTCAAAATAGAAGTTGAGATAAAGATAAGAGCCTATGCCAGTCAGAAGGGTAGGCATGAGAGTAGGGCATCCCTTGCAGATGATCTAGGTGATAACTTTGTCCCTGATACAGACTTTCAGAAGTCTATGGATGTGGGGGTCGAGAAGATGACATTCTTTAGATATTTGAGGGAGACACATAGGCGTATAACCAGAGCCCTACCTCAGACACCCTCTACCTTACCTACCCAGCCAGTTCTGCCAGCCCACTGGCAGTAGTATCTCAAGTGACCCCAGTCGAGAGGCTCCAGAGATAACAGACCACAAATTTCTTCAGTACAGGAGACGACGATCCAATAGCAACATATCAGTGGCTTAGAGAGACCCTTCGAACTCTTCTCCAGCTACCCTCACCCCCGAGGGTATGTTAGAATGTGTAATCTCCTTACTAAAAGGTGATGTCATAGATTGGTGGGAGATGGTTGATATGTCCATACAACCCGAGCGACCTACCTAGGATCACTTCTTAGAAGAATTTCGTCATAAATATATAGGGGAGGCTCATATGGACACTTTGAGAGACCAGTTTATCCAGCTGACACAAGGGGACCATATAGTGTTTGAATATGAAGTAGAGTTTCTTCGTCTGAGTCGGTATGCACCAGAGCTGATTTCATCATATTACCACCGCTGCAGGAGGTTCAAGGAATGCCTCTATTTAGATATTCTGACCCATCTAGCTGTCGATCCACTGAGAGTATTTGCTTAATTAGTCAAACAAGAAAAAGTTGTCGAGAGGGTTCTAGAGAAAAATAGTAAAGGAAGATTTTTGCATCAGTGATCCAGACCAAATTTAGAGCATAGTATGTCTCGAGTTCTTTATAGGGCATGTATATTCTAAAACCTTTATTTTGTATATTTTGAAACCTTGATTTTTATAAGCAAGTCATAACTCGTTTTAAATTAATGGTCTGTATATTTTGAATTGATATTCAGGGAGCTCCCGATGTAAACTAATTTATATAAATATTACTGTTTATTTTATAATGAGTATTTATAAATGAATGTTTTCATTTATGTAAGTTAAGAAAAATTTGGTTTGCCACTCTGGTGGTTTCGTGTGACACTCTTATTGGTTGACTGTGTGTCGTACTGTGTAGGGTGTTACATAGCCGCTCTCTCTTTGTCTTCCTTTTTTTCTTTGAGTTTGTATAATTTTTTATAGATCATATCAATTTTTCTTTTATTTTTTAGCCGAAGACGACACCGGTTTTGATACTGGTTGTCGACAGTCGGTTTTCTTTCTTTTTATTTTTTCTTTTTTAATAAGAATAATTTTGCTTGTGTTGTACATTTATCTCTACCTTTGTGGCACGCTTTTCATTTTTTTTCTCAACCGTTTGTCTGTTCTTTTATTTATGTTTTCTCAGGGTTGGATTGACGACGCCACGACTGATCAAGATGACACTTATTTGAAATCTCGTTGATCTTCCCTGCTTTAGATCTTCCGATTGAATTTGGATGTGTGATTCTGTGTTTGTGGATAGTTTCTCACGGCACTTAGCTATGATTTGCAGTTCTCTGTGGTCTTTCAATAGCTTAATTTCCCTTTGTGGTTTGTTTGCCAATACAATCAGATTTATTCATATCTATTTTTGTTCGAGTCTTTTGGTTGGGGTTTAACATTTTCCATCTATGATCTTTATATGATCTAAAGTGGATAGTTTCAATGTTATAGGAAAACTCCAAATTATGTATTTAGTTACTATAATAGTTGTAAACTCTTATTATAATTTCAGATATTTTCACTTTGTAATAATTCTAGAAGCTTCTATTAAAAAAATAGCCTTCACATGGAATAATTAGAACCATTTTAATCTCAAACTATAAAATGTATGAAATTATAGAAAACTTCTTCCTTGCCTTTTCATGGGATATATTTCAAATTAACATTTCTAACAAAATTAATACTTAGAATGAAAGCATGCCATTATTATGATTGAATTTAATCAAATTAACAATAGTTGGTTGGTTGGTTGTCCCTTGTTCCCATATGTAATGGGGTAAGGGGGAGGTAAGATAGTAGGCTGCCCCCAACACCAGGTTGAGAGTGGCTTTCGTAGAAGACCTCCGAATTATGAAATACCCTCCGTGGGACTTGATCCCACGACCTCAAGGTTAAGAACCTTGTGCTCTACCAACTGAGCTGGATAATCATCTCATATTAACAATAGTTTAATAAGTAAATTAAACTTGAACACTATGGCATAATAAATGCTAATCAAATGTTGATTGTCAGTTAATTCCGATTCAACACCAGTGCTACTATTTATAATCTAAAAGTAATAGCATATAATTTCATTTTAACCATTAAGACAATTAATAGCATTTGATTCATTTTAACTCAAATTATTACCTTTTTATTCACAAACCACTGATTTATGTAAATATTATTGTTTATTTTATGATTTTAATTTCAGTTGCAAACCTTTTTCTCTCACAAATATATTTACCAATAGTAGTAATTTACAAGCATATCAAACGTTTCTTTCACTAATGATGCAAAGGTATTTTTTTTTCTCTTCTAATATGAAAGATTCTGTCGTTTACAAACCTATCATATAACTTTAAAAATCCTTTTCAATTTTACTCTATCATATATCTTTAACATTACGTATCGCTTTGATGCAAGAATGGACCGACATTTAAATCTAGACTATGCTTCATACTATTAAAGTTGAACATGTTAGAAAAAAAGCAACATGAATTCACTTTTAAATTGTTAAAAAATGTGAGTGTTAAAAAAAAGAAGCATTAACATTGACCTAAAAGTATTAAATAAAATATCCAAATAGAACGATATATGTGTTGGTATTAACTACTACCTTAAAAGCGAATTCGTCCTAATGTGCGTAAAATCTACATTGGACGAATGACACGGCTCTCCAAATTTTATACACCCGAAAGATGGAGTAGTCTTACTCTTCTCTCAATTCAAAACAACTCTCACAAGATGAAGAGTGTTTTAAATTTGTCCACTATTTATAAACTAAATAATGAGTGCAAAAACATTATTTTCAAATTACAATTTAAGTCTGTTTATAATATAATTAAATGTCATTATGGAATGAGTTACATTTTGAGCATTAGCAACAGGCTCAACCAAAAAAACCTCAAACCCAACACCTGGTCTTGTCTATGATAGTTGTTGATGGGAATAATTGAGTTAAAACGACTACAAGTTGTTCATTATTTTTTATTTGGATGAAGAGTCACAGTCAGATAGAAATCGATCGGTGTTGGTATTCTCTATCTCTATAAGGACGTAGAGTAGTAAGTGAAGGTGAGGTGATTTTAATTTCCTCTCTCGATTTTGATCGAGAGGTTTTATTTGATTTTCGTTCACCATTTTTTCAGTCATATTTATTTATTTTCTCCTGAAACTTTCTTGTTTTCATGTCGAAGAGTGTCATGATGTTAACAACAAATTTAGAGAAGAGGGTAAATCGGTTGACTCTATTTATCTAGAGGTGTTCATTCGGTTAAAACGGTGGCCGACAGAACCGAATTACCATTAACCAAACTTTTTTTTAACCGTTAACCGAACCGGACTTTTTTTTGAAAATATTAACCGAAACGAATAAATTTCGGTTAATTCTGTTAATTTTGAATTAACATAAAATTTTTAAACTTTTCTAATTTATATAAAACTAAATATTTTTAATTCAAAAAACAATTTACAATTAATTTAAATAATATATAATTATAAAACAAAAAATTTATATGGATTTTTTAATTAATTAATATTGATTTAGGTTTAAAAGTTATTGGATCTTAAATTATTAATTGGGTTTTAGATAGTTTGGGCTTGAGCCCATATGTTATATGTAATATATTTAATATTTAAAATTTAATTTCGGTTAATTCAGTTAATTAACTGATTTTGAACCGAATTAATCGTTAACCGAATTCTAAAAAAATTATTAACCGTTCCCCGACCGAACAAATTCGGTAGCCGACCGAATTAATCGAACTAATTCGGTTCGATCGGTTAATTTGGTTAAAACTGAAAAATGAACACCCTATATTTATCGACGTTGATTTTTTTGGGATATTAACAGGAGTGATTACTGATATGTTGTTTAGTGTGGAAAATTTTAGGCTTAATATAAAATTAGGTGTTCAAACAATGTCTCAAAAAAAGTTTTAGTGTTTAAAGAATTTTTTTGTTAAAAATAGGTGCTTAACGTTTTCTCGGTTATATTTTAGGTGCCTACCGTTTATTTTTTTATAATAAAAATATAATTTCTAATTAAAAAAATCTAATTATTTATAAAAAAAACTCAACTTTTTATTGAAATTATATTTAAAAAAACTAAATCTAAAATCCCAATATGCAAATCCCTAATTCCTACTTTCAATTTCTTAACCTAAACTGCCGCTGGCCATCTTCAGCCATCATCGTCGTCACCGAACGATTGAATTTTGATCGGAATAGAGTAGTGTGGCTTATGGACGTCAAAATCGACCGGAATCGATGAAAACAATGACAATTGCTTAAAATTCGACGAAACTTTAAACCCTTCTCCACGACAAACGATAACATATTACAACAAAAGGTTAACGGGAATTGACGCCGGTGATGATGACGGTGGCGATAACGATCATCGTTGAATGGCCAACGACTTCTGAAAGGCGAAAGGGGAATGGGAAAGGAGGAGAGCATGGGGTGGGGGTTGTTGCTTTGTTGGTTTTTTAACAAAAATATTACTTTTTAATATTTTAAAATAAATTTTCAAAATTATCAAAATGTGACACTTGTTACTTAACTGAAATATTTAACGGCGGTTAAAATTCATGCACCTAAAAATATAACGTTAGAATCATTAGTCACTTATTTTTAACAAAAATTTATTTAGGCACTAAAATATTTTTTGAGACATAATTTTAACACTTATTTTTGTATTAAAACCAAAATTTTAAGTTGGAATTTAATATTACGTCTGGGTTGTGTTGTGCGGGTGACTGTACTAAGGTGAAGGATTTTGTCTTCCTCTTGCTTTGAAAGTTGAGTTTCACTTGAACAAATTAGTTTCTACCCATTGTGGGGGGAAACGAATCCAATTTACAACTTAAGAGAGATGCTTTACAAAAGATAAGGGTTAGTCAATAGCCAATGTCATCCTCCACTGATCATTACTGACTGAAAAGGCACTCTCTTAATTTCCACGATGGTGGAACAATCCCTGCTCATCGGTTGTTTCCACGGCTCCCCATCCATCTGCAAAAATGCATCTTTCCACTCTCCACCCCTTAACTCGATTCGAATCGATGCCGCCTGAAACAACGAAGGAGAAAACCCATCGAAACTTATCAACCTACCACATTCTTCAGATGACAAATTGGTGAGTTAATGTACCTGTACGATGTGTTTTGCAGATATGAGTTCAACCATGACAAATGATGCATGCCACCCATGCTTTAAGCCAAAAATTTCCAACACACCATCATCAACATGAGCCTCAACAAAGCCTCTCTGGAAAAAAAAAACGAAGATTAAACAAAAATGATCCACCATCTTACAACTTGCTAATCTGAAGAAATTCTACCATACCTTTTCCAGATACTCTGGCTTTAGATTGCCCCATGGGTTTCGTCCACTTCCATAACTAGGAAGATTTAAAGCAACAATTGCCCTCACACTAACAGAAAATAGCTTCATTAAAAGAAAATTTATGGATATACATGATATATGTGAAGACTAATTATTGATTAGGGTGCTTATGCACATCACTAGGTAGAAGTAAATACTTGAAATGTACCTTTCAGGTACTGTGATTGGCTCCCATTCCGAGCAGTTGACTCTTTTAATGTGTAGTCTTAAAATGTTATTGAGTCCCCTGCATTTGAATGCATCTTAAAAATATATTTAGTAGAAAAGGAACGTTTGTTCACTGCAAAACACCATTAACAGGAAAGAAAGAATTTCTTCATATACCCATCATACGTACAGATATACGTAGCATTTTTTATATAGAAATTGGAATATGTTCTTTATTGGATAAGGTACAGGCCAAACAATATCTAACCTTAAAGTTGGACCACTTATGCAAGGTGTGAGAAACCAACCCTGAGTGCAAGTGTAGCCGGAGTAGATAATCTGCCACACAAGATGGAACAATTACAATCTAATATTAGTTTTAGCAAAGCAAATCATTGACGGGAGCAGAGAAACTAATAATTTGACTTTCGAATGCCGACTATCACTGTTATTCTTCCGTTTGGCTTTACAATACATATTCTGTAGTGATCCATATAGTTTAACAGATAGTGATATAACCATTAAGCACTTCAAACCAAAAATGCTGCATTTCAATATAATATCAAGAGATTCATGACAAAATGTTGTTGGACTTGCAGTCAAATTTGGAAAAACGAGATCCAAATACCTTATTTGAAATAGGACCTTGTGCAAGGAAAGGTTTCTCATTCCGAAAATGATGGAATCCATAAGCCACTTGTGCATCCATTCCTGAATGCAAAAGGAAAACATAAAGATTTGTAAGAACCAAAAAATGCTCAGTAATAATAATAGACACCGTAAGCAAGAATGAGCACGGTGTTGCTCCTAGTAAGACAACTAACTAGCATGTCAAAATGATGATTATGAAGCCTCTAAAATGTAAAAACAGCTACCCACCAAGCGTATTTCCACATGCATGAAATCAAAGAACCCAGATTTTGAAGTTAAACCGGTACGCTATACCTATGCTAAAGTAATTATAGAATACTCCTTCATAGAAGTTCACTTTGTCTGGAACGTGCCCTTCAATCTTCAAAGTCTGCAGTCACAGAAAAGAATCCTCTCACTTGAATTTGAAATTCTTTAATGTCAAATTAAAAACTTAAAGGCCAAAGGTCATATCTAGAAGAGATAAAACTTTACAAAAGACTCAATGAAGCATCAATGTTCACATGCTCAAAACTAGAGAAGTTGATTGAGTAACATGGAGGATTTAGAGCAGGGAAATTCACTACCTGATCAACACCACACTCTTCGGTAGCCTTCAAAGAATGGGGAGGATCAGCAACTTCTCCACCAGGCATTTGCACCACAACATGCCAACTGCATCATCAAAGAAACAATTACTGATAAAACATAACCACACAAAGTAGGATTTATACAACAATGATGTCTCATGAAACTCATTTTCCAGTCTTAAGAAAACATGCACCTGGTCCTCAATAAGGGAACATTGAACTTGTAAAAACAAAAGGCAATAAGTACGCCCCATAAGTAAAACATAGCACTAAATGTCTAGTTACCTATCTAAATTGCAAATTGGACCGGTCGTAGCTCTCTGCAGCGTTCTTTTAATAGCTGATTTCAAGGAAAAAGGAAACGAACCTCCCTGCAGTGAACATGAGGAGAATGAGGCAACAAAAGACCAGAAAAAAAAAAACAAAAACAAAAGACAACATCAAATTTAAAATTTAGAAAGGGGTATCTTACCCAACCGAAACTTCTAGACAGGTCATTGCCAGTACCAAGTGGAATGATAGCTACAGGGGGAACCGGAAACCGACCCATTTTATGAAGCTCTCCAAGACATCCAAGAACCCAAGCAACTGTCCCATCACCACCAGCAACCTGCCATTCGTCCAGAGTGTAAAACCATCGGCTTGAAATGTTGGATTTAAGTTAACTTCGTTAATTGCATGGATTTAAACGGCAGTCTGCTACCGCAATAGCACTCACTGTATAACGGTAGCGATACCGTTATTACATGACCGCGATACGTGTAATTACCACAATCATGTCCGTTATGTCCGTAATTACGATAAACATAATGCAACCGAAAGTACGACTGTAATTGTAATTTAAATCCCTGGTTATTTGTTTTTATGCTTTGTAGAAAATTGCCAAATAATCAAATCATAGTTGATCAAATATCAAACCCTGCCAAGAGTTCTGTATACAAATATTTGCTTGTAAATCTAAACTAATCACCTTTTAAACTAAAACAAGAAACAAAGGCAATAGCCAAACTGTAACTAAACTGAAAACATTAAAATAATAATAATAAGACAAACAGAGCATATTGAAGAAAAGTTTAGCTGGATAAAAGGTTGGTAGAAACATACTATAACTCTCATGTTCATCCTTGTCTTTTTGACACAAGAGTCCCCATTTTCGGCCCACTTCTCAAGGCAAGCCAGTCCATACCGTACAAATTCATGCGGCTTCACATCATGGAGGTCAAATACCTGAATTTTCAAATTAGATATTCTTCAACAAAAAAAAAAATTAGCCGATCCTTTTTTTCACCATGTGAGTAGTTTTCGTGGAGACCTCCAAATTATAAAATGTTTTCTGTGAGACTCAATCTCACAACCACAAAGTTAAGAACCTTGTGCTCTACCAACTGAGCTGGACGGACAATTTTAAAAATATATATATTCTTCAATAAACATAAAAAACTAAGGCAACCCAAATTAAAAAAAATATATATATACACATAAAACCCGGGGGGGAGTATTACCTGCTCTTCGCTGATTAAGTGCTGGAGACGCTCTTTAAGGACGGGGCCGAGGCGGCCGCCGCTTTTAGGATTAATAAAAACGACGACAGGGGTTTGACAACAGGGATCGTCGTCGGACCGAGGCATTTGGAAATGCCGGTCACCGCCGTTGACATCTTGTTTCCTAATGGAATCAAGCATAGCTAAACGTAGATACTGAGGCATCGCAAGCCTTGCAAAATCTTGCTTCTCCATCCTGAAACTGGTGAAACTCGAGAAGCCGCAACCTACCGTGGACGTCTCCCTGAAGGCGGAACGCGTTACGGTCCGCGACGTCAATGAAGAACCGGCCGACGTCATCTTATCTGTATCTTTGTCCATAAATTTTGAACTTTATTTATCAAAAACAAGAAAAAATATTTATATACAAATATAGGTTCGAGTGCAGAGACGAAGGAAAAGAAGGGACTTTAAGTTATTAGTTTGAGGTTAGTTTTTTCGAAAAGGTTGTTAAGATGCTCTGTATGTTAAGGGAAATAGTAATAGTAACAGTAATATTTTAATAACAAACTTAATTAGAAGATTGTGAAATCGAAAATACCAATCAGTTTTTTTTTAAAATTACCATACATGCATGCAAACTTGCAATTATTTTAATTTGGAATGAAAACTTATATCATTTTCATTCAATTATGTATCTGAATTTTAAGAGTCACCTAATAATTAATATCTAATATAAACATCTCATATCCCACTTCATATATAATAATAATAATAAGGAATGAAAACCTATATTCCATCGTTTACAAAACTTATATCTATTTTCGTCTATTTAAATGCGAACTGATGTGAACCCTCCGAAGTAGGGGTGCTTAACGAGTTGAGCAGCTCGAACTCGATTCGGTCAAAATTCGATAAACGCTCGACTTGAATTGGCTCGATCCGAATTCGAACTCGACTCGAGACCTTAAAGAGATGAGTCAAATAAGTCTAACTCGACTCGATAAGTTCGCGAGCAGCTCGCTAATTTTTTAAAATATATTTTTGATAATTACTTCAAAATTATTTCATTTAAAAAATAAATCTAATTAATAATTTTAATTTATCAATAAATAATAAAAAATAATAAGTTAGCTAATCTATTTTCTTAATAAATAATAAAATATTATTAATTAATAATATTATTTTAATACAAAAAAACACACAACCCTAATATCCTCGTATAGTATTAGTAAATTTTATTTTTAGTTAAAAAAATAAGGTAAATTTTTTAGTGAGCTTAAGGAGCAACGAGTCGAGTTGAGCAACAGATTTTTTTAACGAGCACGAGTCGAGTACAATTTTAACGAGCTTAACAAGCAACGATTCGAGTCAAGCAACAAATTTTTTTAACAAACACGAGTCGAGCACTGCCCAACTCGTGATCGACTCGCTCGATAAGCACCCCTACTCCGAAGGTTATCGTAAAGACATCCCTAGTTTTATATAAATGAAAATTATATAATAATAATACATGTAAATTATGTGTTCAGTACTTAAACTATCAGTTTTGGTTCACTTTAGTTCCTAGACATTTAATTTTTTTCAAAAACATACCTAATGTTTATTTTTGTTTCGTTTTAGTATCCTGTTAAAAATTTAACGTTAAGTTTTGATTTTTTTTAAGTTTAAGTACTAAAACATATTAAAATTGACAGTTTAGATACTAAATGCGTTAAACTTTTAACGGTGAGATGTTAAATTAAACAAAAAGTGAACGTTATGTATGATTTTAAAAGAATTAAAAGTTTAGATACTAAAATGATCAAAATTGATAGTTTGGATACTAAATGCATAATATATCCTAATAATAGTAAGGGGTGATTGCGAAGCAAAGCGATTAGTAACGGACGGGACATGGGACACATGGGAATGAGGTTGGAAATGCATGTCCGCCACATAAGATTCTTTCTCCAACTTCTACGCCTTAGAATCTGCGCTGTCCTTCCATTTCACAAACACCATGAGAATCACGTTTAGGAGGGTAAATAAACTTATTTATTTATTTTTAAAATTATTTATGTTCAGTGTTTTGAAAACTGGATCGGACCGATCTGTTCAACCGGGAATCGTTGTCTAGTCCGGTTCAATCTATATCGATTGAACCGCTATTAGTGAACCGGTCGGAACCATTGAATCGTTCAAACCGAACCGGCTGAAAACCGAAAAAAAACCGCCAATTTTGTTTTTTTTTTAAAATATTAAACCAAACAACGTCGTTTGTTAAACGAGCCAAGTCGAACTCGAGTATTGCTGAGCTCGACTCGAACTTGAAAACTTTAAAAGTAAGCTCAACTCGACTGAAACTCACGAGCTAAAAATTATCAAGTTCAACTCGAACTCGAAATATAATATTGAAACTTGAACTCGAAAAGGTTTGAACTCAAAAAAATTTAGAAGCTCGATTGAAGCCTAAAATTCGAGCTTGATTGAAGTGAAAGAATAGTTCACTCAATGCTCATCAAAAGGCTCCATGATTTTGAATGTCAAATTACCTCTATTATTTATAGAAGTTAGTAGGGATGCTCTTCTATGTTTCTTAGCCATTGGCATTGTTTTTTTTAAAAATAAACCAAACAATATCATTTTGTTATGATTTTTTTAGTCCTAAATTTATTTTTTAATTATAGTTATATAATTATATTTATTATTTAATATGTTTTACCTTAAATATTATGTTGTAGTTAATTTGAATAATTTTGTTTCGCTTGATTTTATGGTTTTTAACTTATATATGTTATGATTTGCTTTGAATATGACTTGTGATATAAAAAATTATTTTTTATTAAATATTTTTGGTATTTTTATTTAATTTTTTAAATAATTATGATGTCGTCCGATTTTTCCGACCGGTCGAACCGGTTCGACCGATTGAACCAGTGAACCGGTAGCATGACCGGTTCGCTAACCGGTCTGGTTCTGAAAACCACGTTTATATTTAGTTTATATTCATTTAAATTTTTAATATTATATTTATGTTTGTACTCATTTATATATAATATTTTTATAGATGTTTATGTTCAGCTAGTGTTCACTTTAATTTCTAATACCATGCAAAGTCGTCCATATATTTTCACGGCCATGAGCGAAAACTCAAAATATGCCTTTATAAAATGAAAGTATATTTCATTACTTTAATCAATTAATTCAACATTACATAAATAAATCATAGAAAATGATTAAATTTTATGAAAATATACTATTTTTATTACTTTATTAAGAAAACACCTTAAATATAATTAAAAGAGAATAAATATATATATAAAAAAATTGAATGTGTGTATGATAGCTTGATTTTGAATAAAAAATAATTGTATATTATTTTATTATTAGATTGAGAATGAAGAAGACTAAAAATAAAGAATATTTGATAAACTAAAGAGTAAGATTTGAAAAAGAGAGAGAGAAAAACATGATTAAATTTAATTTAAAATTAAATGAATAAATAAGAGAAATGGAAAAGGAGAGTCAAAAACTAAACATTTCATGAAATTATAAAAATTAGGGAGCCTAATTATAAATATAAAAAATGGTTAAATTTAATCCAAAATTGGATGAATTAACAACAGAAATAGGAAAAAAAGGGTCAAAAAATAAAAAATTTATGAAATTATAAAAATTAGGGCCCTAATTATAAATATATAAAATGGTTAAATTCAGTCCGAAATTGGATGAATTAACCAGAGAAATGGGGAAAACTCAAAACTAAAATTTTATAAAATTATAAAAATTAGTATCATGATTATAAATAGAAAAATTTGAAGCCATAATTATAAATACAACAAATTGAGGCCCTGAGCGGTTGCTCAGGGTTCTCCCCCATAGAGCCGACCCTGATATCATATTTCATGTTTGTTCAAATTTTTAATATCATGTTTGTGTTTATTTATCTATTTTTGAAGGTGTTCATGTTCATTTATTGAGAGTTCATGAAAATGTTCGCTTATATGTTTGTGAGCATTTTTATTTAGCGTTCGTGAACATTTCATTTGCAAGATAAAATATCATAAAATTGCGTCACGAGTGCTTAAACTCCTTAAGTTTCCTATTTTAAACTTCAAATTTCACCACATGCTCAATGTAGATCCTAATTCACCAATATTTAAAATATAAAAAGAGTAAATGAACTTATAAACGAGCTTGTTCATGAACATAAACGAACGAGTCAATAAACTAGTTTGTTTGTGAATATAAACGAACCGAACACACATTTGATCATATTCATTCGTTTATTAAATAAACATAAAAAAATTTATTCATACTCATTTATTTAGGTTAACAAATGAACATAAACGAACGATTCACGGAATATATATTTTGTTTATTTACACCCCATAATCACCTTAATACCTTACAAACGAAATGTTTTTAAATATAACTATTAGTATTTCAACTCTAAATCTATTTTTTTATCATAATGGTATTTTCTTAATTATATTTAATTATTAATATTTTAAAAGTTAAATAACCTTTTAATAAAAATTATAAATCTTCAATATTTTTCTATAACAAATCACATGATAATCCACATGTTCTTCATATTAAAATAATATAATTTAAATGATATGTTACATCAATGAAAATTTTATAAAACTAAAGAAAATAAAATTTCGACTTTTAGAAAAGTTGAAGTAAAATTTAACTAAAATATAATGATTAAATTGACAAAAAAATATGAATATTAAGTACTAAATTTATCATTATATGTTTAATATATATGTGTTTGTGTGCGAAAAAAAAGTGTAGACATTGAGTGCTAGTGTATAGAAACATGCGACTTGAAAGGTTTAAATTTGGACTTAAAGAAAGCATCTTTAATATTTTTTATGGATTTAACATTTTTAGTCGCAGGGTCGACTTGTCTCAATAGTTAAAAGAATCGTTATTGTTCCTAGAGGTTATGGGTTCAAGAACCAGTGACTATAGCATAATGATTGAGCGTTTATTGTCAAATAATTGAGAATATTTAGAACATATACTACTTTATAATCACCTTAGCTTAATCAAAAAAATCTTCAACCAATTATTTACTAAAAATAATATAATCAAAAAATTCTTCAGCCAATTATTTACTAAAAATGACATCCTCAAATGTTGTCTTACACAACATACCCACTTAATACTTGAAAATTATTTTATTGGTTTAAATGGAAGGCAGATTGACGAAACACGTCTTTCAAAAGTTTTCACAAAGTGCGTTTTTAAGTCCTCATATTTTTAAAAATTCTAAAATATAACATGTTGAACCTATATTTTGATCTAACAAATTAGAGTAAAATATTTTTGGACTTTATAGAATTTGTTAAAATATTTCAAAGTTC